TCTGCCTCCCGAGTGCTGGGATTAAAGGCATTCGCCACCACCGCCTGGCTCCGAACCAATTTTTCATGCAGATTATTTTGATCAAAGTTCCAAAACTTAGAATAAGCTAGCTTCCTGCAAAAAGTCAGCATTTGGACTCTTTAAGAACAAGGCTTTTTGTTGTTGTCTTTAATTACCCATCAGGAGGGATGGGGAAAAAATCTTCCTCAAATATGATCACTCAAAGCTTCATTCCTAATTATCTTGAGAGTTAAAATCTTCATCTGCTTTGCACTATTATTTAAGCACATGTACAAACACTGGGGTGTTAGTCTAAATTCTGTACTGAGGGTAGAAATGCATTCTATCCACGTTCAAATGTTTACTCAATGTCACGTTCCATGAACTGTGCTACATAGTAGAACATGAAGACATATCTTGGGGACTTAATTATCACCGAGTGCAATGATTAAAGTAGGTATAAGATACAAAGAGAAAGTAATTAAATGGAAGAATACCATCTCAGACAAAGGTACCCTCTCAATAAAGAGTTGAACAAAAGTATTGCAAAATGTGTTTGTTGAAAAGGATAGTCTACCTGGATTCACACTATTACTGTGAATTCATTTAGTTCTATTTCTTTGTGTAATTTTTAACCTTTTTTTTGAAGACGGTCTCACTAGCCTTCACTGACCTGGAGCTCACTATGTGGACCAGGCTACCCCGAAACTCAGAGATCCACCTGCCTCCTACCTGCCAGATGATGGCATTAAAAAAGTGTCACCCACACCCAGCATCTTGTTATCTTTATTTCACTCTAACTTGAAACTACCACTTTTGGGTGGGCATGTGGTACAGTTGGTAGATCACTTGCCTAGCATGCTATGGATCAAGTCCCTAGCACTGAAAACTCATTTTTGTATGTATATGTGATAATTTTAATTGAGTTTATTATCATTTCTTCTCTGCATTCTTGTCCATCATTGCAAATCAGGCTAAATACAGAGACTGCCAGATACAGGAATACTCATGTTATTAACACTCCTGTTACTAGGCAGGAGTGGTGCACACTTTAATCTCAACACTCAGGAGGCAGAGACAGGTGGATCTCTGAGTTTGAGGCCTGCCGGGTTAACAGAGTGAGTTCCATGACAGCCAAAGTTATATAAAGCAACCCTGTCTCAAAAATAAAATAAATCCTATTATGTTATTAATAACATGTTATTAACATACTTTAAACCATTTCAGAGTTCTCTTTTCCCATAAAGTCAGTGTCCACTCAAATTTTAAATGCTGAAAACAGTACCCTGTAAATGCTGCCATTGTTCACAGACTAACTTTATATTTGATATAAGAATTCATTGGTTACCTGGCAGTGGTTACCAACACTTGGGAGGCAGAAGCAGGCAGATCTCTTGAGTTAAGGGACAACCTTGGCTACACAGAGAAACCCTGTCTTAAAAAAAGAAAGAAAGAAAGAAAGAAAGAAAGAAAGAAAGAAAGAAAGCTTTAACTTTTAACATCCCTAGGAGGAATGAGGGAAAATAAAACCCCAATATTCTGTTTTTAGTAGCAATTTGTTTATTTGGGGACCCTTCCTTTAACAAGATACGAGTGGATCAAAGAACAGAAATATCTTCAGCTGTAGGTTAACAAGCTGATCATAAGGGAAAAACCACTAAAACCCCAGTCCTCAATTCTTAGTCCTAACAATTATCTAATGGCAACTTGTCGATTTTTTGTTTTTGAGAAAGCAAAAAAAAAAACAGGATTGTTGAAGGGTATGCACCAGGGCTGAAAGCCATGTTATACAGGTACACCACTAGGCCTACAAAATAGGATTCTTTTCCATTGTTTTAATAAAGTTACAATAATAAATTCTTAGAGTTCTATTCATTTAACAAGTACAAATCCTAGAACGGCTATAAAATTGGCAAAGAATAAAAGGTTTAACAGGAGAAAAAAATGTCACCACACAAAGCAATATTTTAACTTGCTTCCTGAGACTATGCTTGTTCAAAGAAATACTCTCATGTTTTTAGTAATCACCAGCCCCATTTTCCCCATAGAAAATTACTTCAAATAATAACAAAATTATTGTTAATGTTGTAGAGCAGGACCTATTCATCCTCTTGAAATGCAATCTAAGAGTTTTATACTTTTGGGGGTGAAAAGTAGGATTCCTCCTTAATCAGGGGTTTGGCCAGGCTACCAAAGCCTCAACCTGCAAACTAATTGAGAACTTAGGAACATGTGGCCCTATTCTTCCCACATAATAATTCCCTGCTAACAGGTTGTTTTTTTCTGGGGGAGGGGGATGCTAGAACTAGTATCAAGCCTCCCACTAGAAGTAATTTTTTAAAGTTTCTCTTCCTGGAGAAGAGTTACAATCCTCCTTTTGTCAGCTGAGGAGCCTCCCCTCCAATATGTAGATTGCTAAACTATTAGAAACTATTTATAAAACAATTTTTGTGCCATTCATCCATATTCTTCTCTCCCCCACCCCCGCCTCTTTTGAGGCAGGTTTTCTCCATACACACACACACACACACACACACACACTCTCTCTCTCTCTCTCTCTCTCTCTCTCTCTCTCTCTGGCTGTCCTGGAACTGGCTCTGAAGACCATGGTGACCATGAACTCACAGAGATCCATCTGCCTCTGCCTCTGCCTGCTGGGATGAAAGGCATGTGCTACCACCACTGGGCTCATCTGTACTCCTAAACAGTACTTAGTTATACAGATATATTACAAGGGTTGATGCCCACTCAAAATGGACCTCTTCTCTCATAATCAGCCATGGACCACAACTCGTTTCTTTGTTAACCCTTGAAAAAGAAGCATCAGGCCGGGCGTTGGTGGCACACGCCTTTAATCCCAGCACTCGGAAGGCAGAGGCAGGCGGATCTCTGTGAGGTCGAGGCCAGCCTGGTCTCCAGAGCGAGTGCCAGGATAGGCTCCAAAGCTACACAGAGAAACCCTGTCTAAAAAAAAAAAAAAAAAAAAAAACAAAAAAAAAGAAAGAAAGAAAAAGAAGCATCAGCTTTGCCCTTTAGTAGGATTTAATATAAAGGTTGAAGAGATTAGGGCTCACCAGTTAAGAGCCTTGCTCTTCTTCCAGAGAACCTAAGTTTATTTCCCAGGACCCCATGATGTTCACAACTGTCTGTGACAACAGTTCCAAAGGATCAGATACTTAGTTTGGCTTCACTTGAATGAGTGTGGTGCACTTACCAAAGTGCAAGCAAAATACATAAAATAAATACATCTTTCTAAAAAAAACTTTAATTGTATAAAAAATGTCCTCCCTAAGTGGGAGTTATCAGGGATTTCATGAGACTGGTTAAGGAAAGCCATTTCCCCCTACTCAAAGGAATAGAATCTGAGTTCCTCCTGTCCCTGGAGAGACACTACATTCTTACATACCCAAAACATTATTACATACTGGGGCTGAACCGATGGCTCAGTGATTAAGAGTATTTGTTGCTCTTACAGAAGATCCCAGGCAGCATTCCCAGCACTCACAATAGTGAAGTACAGATATCCACAACTCTACTTCCAAGGGATCCAATGCCCTCTTTTGCCCTCCCTGGGCCTCAGGAATGCATATACTTGCAAAACACTCAATACACATAAAATAACAAAATATGAAACAGCCGGCGTGTGTGTGTCTTTAATCCCAATACTTAGCAGAGACAGGTGGATCTCTATGAATCTGAGGCCAGTCTGGCCTACACAGCAAGTTCTCAGCCAGCAGAACTACATGGTGAGACACTGTCTCAAGAAATAAATAATTAAAATTTTAAAAAGAAAAAATTACGTATTATTTATTGAGGCCTCCCCTAAAGAGTTAATCCAACTGGGCTTGTCAATCACCTGGCCAGAAAACAACCTCTCAGAAAAGCTGATTCATCTGAAGATACGAAAAAAATAATTAACCTTAAAGTAAAGCCCATAAGTCCTTCCCTCCAACACAGCTCCTTTCAGACCTCCACAGCTAAGCTTGTTTTTTCCGGGTTCTAAATAAAAAGATGTAACTTCACCTTTCCCCCATCTCTTCTTTGAATATTAACTGAAGTGCTTAACAAGATCGACCTGACCCTGAATTCTCACTTTTCTTGACGACCCTCCCCCATTTCAATAAGTGCTGGTAGGCGTCCACTGCGGACCCTAATTTAGAAGGCACGACTTAAATTTCTCTTCATCTCCCTTCTCCCTGGCAGCTACAGAGATTTATTTACAACTTGCCTGCACTGTTCTTCCCCCCCCCCCCAAAATTCTAATGGTCCCCAAGCTTCCTTCTGATTCTGCCCTAAAAATCTTTTTTTATCAACGAACCTAAAACAACGAAAGGGAAAAACCAATTCCCGAGTATGCTGTTTCCCAGCAGCTGGTACAATATCTATTCACGGAATTCCTCATACGCAGGAGAAATACTCTCTAGTTGGTCCTGCAAGCATGCTGGCCTTTCAAAAATCATTTTGCTACAGTGCCTGAAGTGGCAGCGCTACAACTAACGCGGGCAAAAATGATTCCCAACACAATTCCGGTAAGTTACCACTATTAAGATAGTATTTAAACGATATATGGGTCAAGGAGACTTAAGCAAGACGCCAGTTTAAAGAAAAAGCAACCCCTCTACAAAAGCTTTGTCTTGTTTCGCGCATTATTTCCAGTGCTCAAATCCCCACAATCCTCCACATCCATTTCTCCCAAAACACACCCCCCTGGGGAGACGCAGCTCTACTCTCTGCTTTTCTACCCCTTAAATCACGCAAAGCTCCGGATCCCCCCGATAACCTCTAAAGCCACTAGGGAGCGAACCACGAAGGGGCCTAGATCCGCTCTCCTCCGCCCCACGCTAGCTCGGGCCCAGCTCCCCCCTCTCCCCGTCCCCAACGGTCCGCGGGGCCCAGGGCTCACCTCTCCACCCACTCCCTCAGGAAACGCATTTCCTCGGTGTGCAGGACGGCGCGGCTAAACGTGATGGAGGAGAAGGGGGCGGCTGCCGCGAGGCAGAACAGACTAGAACCTCCCCGGCCGCTGGCTCCGCCCCCCCAACGGCCTCGTGACCCCGGTCCTTCGCTCGCTCATTCCTACTCCCTCTGTCTCTGGACTTGGAGCACCGCCTAGAACCTTCTAGAAGTGTAGCTGTCCGTGATAGTGCCTGCTCCTAGACCCGAACATTCTTATTCGTATTCTTTCCTCTGACCTACTTCCTGGGATAGATGAAGGACCTTGCGTGTGTGCTTTCAAGCGGGAGGCAGGGAGGCATTCGGAATAGGATAATCTGCGAAGGTGGAAGTTAAGCAGAACAAGATGCCCTCTGGAGGCTGGGTAGGGAGCCTATGTGGCGGACGCGCCAAAACCCAGCCGGGTGATGTCACCGCTCTGCGCCGCTACGGAAAGAAAGCCCGCGAGCGGCGCCTGCCGGAAGGGGCAGGTCGGTTAGCTGGTTTCCTGGCGACGCGGCCGTGCTGGCGGCTTCTTTGCCTTCAGTTTGTGATTTTTCTTCCTGACGCGTGTGTGTTGACCATGCCTTCCCTGCTCTCAACCCCCAAGCTGGTTCCGGTTATAGCAAGACTCCGCTGCCTCTCAGGTTAGAGTCTTTCCAGCCAGTGTCCCTTTCCCTTGGAGAAGCCTCAAGTAGCCCAAAGAGCTAGAAGTTGATTCCTGGTTCTGGACCGTTCTGCTCCTGGGCCCCCACGGATTTTCCTTTTAACTGGCTGCTCTGGGAAAGTGGGCTTTAGTTTCTGATATTCTGGGAAGCTGAAATAACTGAAGAGAAGGGAACCCCGAGGGACTGCCTTCAAAGATACTCGAATTCAGAATTTTTACCTTTACCTTTTATCATCACACTTGGCTAAAGTGTTTCATATCAAGTGACATTTGTTTCTGTTAAGGCAGCGTAAAATCGGGTTTTCAAAGGTTTCGTAGGAGAGCTATCTCAAAAGATAGAAGAAAGGTTGAGGAACAAATGTTTTGTGCAGTTCAGTTTACAAAGTACTGGAGGTAAGGGGAACGTGCCTAAAAGTTATATGAACAGTCGAGCTAATATAGCGCGGAGAACGCCAACCCTTCGTGTACAGTATGGTAAGCAATTAATCTGATAAACATAAAGTCTTATACTGAAAACTGAGTCATCCATCTTGCAAGGGTATCTGATAATAGATTATATTTCAGATGAGGTGTGCAAAATGTTAACCAGAAAATAGGGTATTTGACATTAAAAGTTGCCTTGCCATTTGTGTGTAATACTTAGATTCGCTGAAAATGAATTTTTATATCAGCTTTCTATTTAATTATCCATTGCAAAGAGCTTGTTCTGTAGTCCTAGTAGTCAAGTTGTGCCTTTGATGGGAATGAATGAAAATAAATGTGATTGATCTACTATAATCACAGAGACCTGTGACAAGACTAGAGCCAGCTTTTTGCTTCTAATCTTTAACTTTCTCGAAGCTTCGTGTAAATCCTGATTTGATCCAGCTTTAGGACTGGATAGTAAGTTCAGCATCTTACTATATTACTTACTATATTTCTTAACTTAATGAAGAAGTGATATTGAATCTTCGGTTTACCAAGGAACTGAAACACAATTAAGGATGATGTTTGTTACATGATTATGTCTCGTCTTTTGTACCACTTTTAAGTCTTAATTCTGTTAGCTAGAGTCCTTTTGCACCATCTCATTTTGTGACCCAAAAAGTGCAGTTGCCTCCAGCTACTTTTGAGTCAGTAGTTATTGTGGCTGCATCTCTACTTCCCCACTGTTGCTCACAGTCTAGAAAAGTGAGATAGAAAAGCAACAAATGACACTGTGGCTGAGTGATTAGACTTGACCCAGGGATTTGGGAAGATAGGAATGCATTTCCCTGTAAGTATTGTTATCCGTGGTTTAACTTTCTTGTGACTAGGACTTGGAATATCTGTGGTGTTGGTTTCTCTTCTTTTTTTTAATATATTTTTATTAATTCTTTGAGACTTCCATACAATGTATTTTAATCATTCACCGCTCCTCCCAGAACCTACCTCCCCAGCTACATTTGGTTGTCCTTTAGAAAGGCTCTAGAGCAGTGATTTTCAACCTTCCTAAGCTTCGCCCCCCTTAATACGGTTCATGTGGTGACCCCAACCATACAATTATTTTCGTTGCTATTTCATAACTACAATTTTGCTGTTATGACCCATATATAAATATCTAATCTGATATGGGACCCCTGTGAAAGAGTCTTAACCCCCAAAGGGGTCATGACCCACGGTTTGAGAACAAGTGTTCTAAATTAGACTATTGGCTGCCATAAGAAGTGTTGTGCACTCTTTTATCCCAGAACTAAGGAGGCAGACGCAGGTGGATCTCTGACTTTGAGGCCAGCCTGGTCTACATAGTGAGTTCCAGGACAGCCAGAGATACATAATTAAGACCCTGTCTCAAAAAGAGAGGGGGAGAGAGAGAGAGAAAAAAAAACTTTCTCACTTGAAGAAGGCATGCATATCTGAAGTGAGAGTAGTTTTTTTTATTTTGGTTGGTTGATTGTGGGTGATGGGGATTGAACCTGGAGCTTGGCCAAAAATAAGCACTGACTCTACTACTGAGCTATACACCCCCAGCCCTGCAAATGTTGGTAATTTAAAGTCCACTTAGTTGATTTATTAGATGGGATATGCTGCTAGTCATATGAGAAGCTAAATAAACTACCAGTTGTACATTAAAAAGTTGCTTTTTCTTTTGTTTTGTTTTGTTTTTCAAGACAGGGTTTCTCTATGGCTTTGGAGGCTGTCCTGTTACTAGCTCTTTAGACCAGGCTGGTCTCGAACTCACAGAGATCCACCTGCCTCTGCCTCCCTAGTGCTGGGATTAAAGGCATGCGCCACCAACGCCCGGCTAAAAAGTTGCATTTTCTTATGTAAGTCGTTTAAGATACATATTAAAGCTGACATAAGAAAGGAAGTTAACTTCAAAACTTGAGCACCAAATTTAAACACTAAAAAGTTTCTCTCCTCATGATAAGCTGATAAAAAGGCAAATAACTGCGGTATAGCATGCACTGATGAAATAAGGGTTCCCTGTTGTGGAGAAGGAAGATGCAGACACACCTCTAAAAGAGATTTGAGACTTGAAAGTCTCACCAAGCAGATTGTGAGGATCATCTGGACAGCAAATGTTGTCTCAACCACAGAACACTAAGAACAGTGGTGGTACTCAGCATTTTCTTTTTATATGGATGGTAATTCTTTGAAATATTTTCCTGGGTATTTTAAGGTATTTATATCAAAAGGATTATTTGGTCAAATGCATAAGCTGCAATCTGTACACTCCCAATGGCCTTAAGTTCTAAAAGGGAGATGATATATTTAGCAATGATTGGCAAAATGTATTTGTCCATTGAGCCCACTTTCCTGAGGTAAAGGCAGGCACTATCACTGCCTGGCCCTTTTTTTTTTTTTTTCTATAGAGAAAGATAATTAAATCTGAATTTTTAGATAAAAGTGGATAAATGGTCAGATATAGTGACACATTCCTGTAATTCCAGCACTTAGAAGATAGAGGCAGGAGGGTCAGAGGTTCATGTTCACCCTTGACTTCATAGCAAGTTCAAGGCCAGCCTCAGCTACATGAAAATCTCATAGAAGAAAAGAGAGATGATTTAAAGGACCTATCATTACAGTCTTACTGTTTCTGAGATGTTGGGGTTTGGTTCTTGAAATGGATTTTCTCTTTCTTTCTTTCTTTCTTCCTTTCTTTCTTTTTAAACCTTAATCCTGCATGGAGACAGACTAATCTTACTAAAGGACACATTTTATGTAAGTCGCATTTAAAAATGCCCTAAGCTTTTATGATTTTATTTTCTGAAAACAACTTTGGGTGCTAATTGTCCCCATTTTCTCCTAAAGGATATATTACCTTTCCTCCCCACTGAGAATCAGACAATACAAAACAAAAGCTCACATATGCTCACATATGTCACGAAGTGGTAACACACACATTTAATCTCAGCACTTGGGAGGCAGAGGCTGATGGATCTCTTGAGTTCAAGACTGAGGCCATCCTGGTTACAAATCAAGTTCTAGGACAGCCGGATCTAGAAACCCTGTCTTGAAAAGCAAAACAAAAATTTGTGTCCTAAACTCCAAAATTTCTTTACTCTACCTCTTTAATCAAGAAACTAAAGAAGCTAGCAGATCCTGCTTTACTTATCTATCTCCAGTTTGTAGACTTGGTGACTTTTGTTTGCTTAGTGCTATGTGTACATCACATACCTAACCCTGCTCAGCAAGTAGTAGGCCCTCAAATAGTAATGTTCAATGAAAAGAATATTGAGAAGCAGCATCATGAAGATGAAAATATTACAGAAAGCTAAGACATAACAGTGTTGAAGTAAAAGGGTTTTTTGTTGTTGTTGTTGTTGTTTGGGGTTTTTTTTGGTTTTTCAAGACAGGGTTTCTCTGTGTAGCTTTGGAGCCTATCCTGGCACTCGCTCTGGAGACCAGGCTGGACTGGAACTCACAGACATCGTCTGCCTCCCGAGTGCTGGGATTAAAGGTGTGTGCCACCAACACCCGGCAAAAGTTATTTTTTAAAAGGCAAGTTTAATAGAGTATTTAGTTCAAACCATTTGTTTGGTTTCTAATATGTTTGTAACTCACAGTTTTTTTTCTACCAACATGATTCTTAAATGAAATGGCTCTGGGTATTTTACAGTAACACATTTGTAGATCCTACATACAGACAAGATAAAATAAGGTTTCATATCTGGGGAGAGAGTGACTGATAGCCTGCAGCTCATGATAGCCAGGTTGTTCCAAGGAATCTGGAATAATACTAGACATTTTTAATTGTAGTATAATACACATTAAATTTAGTTTACCATATTAGATATTTTTTAATGTGCAGTTCATTGGTATTAGTATATTTACATTGTTGAGAAGTGGGGTTCCAGAATGTTTTTATTTTGCAGGTCTGAAGCTTTGTACCTACAAAATAACCTCTTTTCCACCTCCTGTCTGAATTAGACTGCTTTAGATACTGTGTTAACATTATTCATTCAGTATTTGTCTATTAGTAACTGGCTTATTTCACTTACCATCTTAAGATTTTAGTATTCCAAAAGCTCATGTATAGTGTAGCTAATGACAAGATTTTTTTTTTTTTTCAGTTAAAACTGCCCTCAGAAAACAACTAAGCCACAGAGGCAGGCAGTATGCCAGGATTTTTTCTGAGAGAGAGAGAACGAGAACACGTGTGTGTGCCTGCGTGTCTGTGTATGCGTGTATGTACTTGTGTGTGCATATGTGTGTGTTTGTGTGTACTCAAGTGTGCAGGTGTGTGTTGGCGTGTGGGTGTGGGTGGGTGTGTTCGTGTAGGGGGGGTGTTCATGTGCATGCAAATACTCACAAGTGTGACTGTTCAATGGTTTTTGTTAATATCTTGGGCTCCTGATGAGCATCTGGTTGCTTCTGTCTCTTAGATACTATGAATAGAGCTGCTGTGAACATCTTTGTGCAAATATGTCTCATTATTTCAAACTCAAAATACATGTTATAGTCTGAACCTATGTTTTTTAGTAGGTGTTCATCTCCTAATGCTATGTACATTTGCCAGGGATTTGTGATGGTATTAATTAAAGGAATTAAATAGGTTACAAAGTCCACTGAAAAGTATTTTTTGCTCAAACAGCTCAAAAACAAAATGTTAAAAAAAAAAAACTTTGCAGTTTTCCATAGTTTTAAAATCATTATTGCCACAAATTCATCTTTTTTCTGACATAAGGTTTCACACTGGCCAAATGTCCACAATCTTGGTTAAAAAAGCCAGGTATGGTAGTGCACACCTTCAATCTCAGCAACTGAGAGGCAAAGATAGGTAGACCTCTGTAAGTTTGAGGCCATCCTTGTTTCTTTAGCAAGCTCCACGCCAGCCTGGACTACCTAGTGGAGACCTTGTCTCAAAAACAAAATGAACACACATACTTGGGAAGGGGGACGGGACGATGACTACCTACTCTTACATAATATTAACAAATATTATCTATAAAAAAAACCAAAACACACAAAAGTGTGGTGTTCAAATGTTATATGATCATAATGTGTTTAAAGAGTCAATTAGCGATTCCTTTTGTTTGGCTTCTTCTTCTGCCCCTCTTTATGCTTCTTCTTTTTTCTCCTGCCACCTTCTTTGAATCCTGCTGAGAAAATGGAAGGATCCTTCTTGGTGGTGACCCAAGGTGTACTTTGTTCATTATTGTCCACAAAATTATATTGAGATATATTTGGGGGACTGTAGTAATTTGGTGAGTAACTGTTGAATGCCCGTCTTCTCCAGTTATGTTTTCCTGCAAAGCCCTCTTCATCTGCCACACTATTTACAAGAAAGGATCTCAACTCAACATCATCTTCAGCTTCTCTTTCTTGATGCTTCTCAAAAGTTTTCCTTGTATTGATATTTCTTCCATTAACAATTTTGCCTGAATGTGTAATTGGTATGCAATTGCCCATCCCAGTATCATCAAATGCCAGGGAAGAGAATGAAGCAAGGCTCTCATGCCCCAGTGAAACATAAGACGTATATCCTGTGTCATAAGAGGACAGCCTGGCAAACACTGAGTGGTCACAGGCACGTGCACGGGAGAAAGGGGATCCTATGCCTTGGCTTCTGCTTTCATTAGCGATCCTTGAGCTGCTCAGAAGGTCCTCAAGCGAGTCCTCAAAGAAGTGAAATGAAAACGGGTCCCTTTCACCAAAAATTTCCTTAAAGACATCATCTGCCTTATGGAATGTGAAACCATACTCACTTTCATCGTCAAGATGACTTCCACCTCCATTTAATCCTTCCTTGCCATATTTGTCATAAATATTCCGTTTTTCACTGTTAGATAATACTTCATATGCCTCAGCAACTTCTTTGAATTTTTGTTCTGCTTCCTCTTTGTTTTCTGGATTTTTATCAGGATGCCATTTAAGTGCCACTTTACGGTAAGCTCTTTTAATGTCCTCTGTTGATGCGTATCTCTGCACTCCTAGAACTTCATAGTAGTCCACCATAGTTAGACAGAGTATTAGAAACAAACACCCTTAATAGTGAGCACTGTGTTTTCCTTGCAGCTCAGGCTCTGTTGCTGCTGGTGATGGTAGAAGTGACTACAAACAGGCACATTTTTATATTGAAGGTAGTATTAGTGCTGTGGGCCACTGCTGAAAGATTTGAGGGTTCTGATTATGTGACAAGCAGAGGGATAAGCATATGTCAGAGATGCATTATGGTGTCATACTGAGGTAGAGATAGGGTTTGAATCTTCCAAATGCAATTTCTCCAGAGTCACTCTGTGCTGAACCACCTCTGCTGTTTCTCCCATATCTTCCTGGAAGCTCTGGATAGTGCGTCAGTGTGATCTGTACTATTAGCCACAGCATCCCTCTTATATATTCTGACTTCCAGATTACTGAGCCTTAATTATTGCAGTTCTTCTGGTTTTTGTTGGTTGGTTGATTGACTGGTCTGGTTTGTTTGCTTTTTTGTTGGTTTTTATTTTTTGGTTTTTTGTTGGTTGGTTTGTTTTGAGACAAGGTTGTTCTGTGTAGGCCTGGCTATCCTGAAACTAACTCTCTAGACCAGGTTGGCCTTGAACTCAGAGATCCTCCTGTCTTTGCTTCCCGAGTGCTAGAATTAAAGGTGAGTGACACCATGGCCCAGCTTCTATGTTTTGATTTAGAAAAATAAAGACTTAGAAAACTTTGTGAGGGGAGTGTATTCAAGCAGCTAAGGAACTTATTGCAGTCAGAAGACATACACACAATAGAAGATTTAAATAAGTAATTTAATTATAATAAAAACTATGATGGAAGATACACCAAATGGATAAACTAGTGTGAGAGACACCCTGGGCTATGGTATCAAAGAAGACGTGCTAGTAGCTTACTCTTCAAGCTTTCTGCCAGCAGTGAGTCATTTGAGATGATAGGGTCTGTACCTACTTAATGTTTATTATAAAAACACAGGTAAAAGCCACAGAGCCCATGCTATGTACTGTGACTGTGGCCCTATTTTCCAGAAGGAAAAGGAAAAGTGTGAAATAAAGCTCTTAGAAGCTATACATTTATGTATTCATTATAGCTACTTTATACTAGGCAGTTTTAACTTATGGTGAATAAAACAACTAATTTTCTATTGTAATGGGATACAAAAAGAGTAAGGTACTTCATGCCTGTAATTCCAACATAGAAGGCTGAGATGGGAGGACTATGGAGGGTTCCAGGCAAGCCTACACTACAGAAGACCCTGTCTCAAAAACTAAATAAGAAGGTTATACAAATTGCATAAAATACTGGACACACTCAGGGGATGCCTGCCTTTAATCTCAGCACTCTGGAGACAGGTAGGTGGATTTCTGTGTGTTGGAGGACAGCCTTATCTCATAATGAGTTCCAGGACAGCCAGGGCTATGTAAAGAGACCCTGTCTCAACACCAACAAAATGCATAAAACATCTTGAGAAAATGTGGTATCTTAAATTACTACCTTTATGTTCTCAAAAACAAATGAGAAGAATGTGGACAGAGCAGAGGGCTTTTTCACATTGGTTATAGAAACTTGGGAGGGGGCTGTATCACAGCTCCTCAGCCCAGTGCTGGGGTTGGATGCAAGAGCCTGAGGCTAAGTGATTAATAAATGTACTGAAGGAATGTTGCTGCATAGATACCAGAATCTGACCAGATAAAACAGTTTAAGGAGTTCCTGGGAACCTACAATAAACTTAACAGAAACCTGCTTTTTAGAGTGTGTTAAAGACTTCACAAGAGAGGTGAAGCCTGAAGAGGTTACCTGTTCAGAACTTCACTTACAGAAATATTTAAAATGATGCAGAGAGGGCTGGAGAGATGGCTCAGCAGTTAAGAGCGCTGCCTGCTCTTCCAAAAGTCCTGAGTTCAATTCACAGCAACCACATGGTAATGAGATCTGGTACCCTCTTCTGGCCAGCAGGCATACATGCAGGCAGAACAGTATATACAAAATAAATAAATAAATAAATAAATCTTTAAAAAATAAATGAAATGACACAGAGAATGTCCATGAGATTTCAGGACTATCGTTGAGCAGAATGAAGCCCAGGACTCCTGGGCCAGCCCAGGTAGAGAAGTCCTGAGGTCCAAACTTGCTGAAAGATTGCCAGCAGCTGTTGCACTGAAAATGAGGGTTCACCTGGAAGATCTCTTGAAGCACAGCAAGAGTGGTGGTAAGCCATTTGTCGTGACTACCTAACCAATGGAAACTACTAGAGAAACAAAAATCACTCTTCACCAGAAAGAAAACAGAAGGCCTTACTGTTGAGTCAAAATGGTATGATGCAACATTGTTGAGGCCTTAAGATTCAGCAGTGTGGTCACTTTGATTACAAAAGTAAACCACTGTTCCTTTCTTTGTGACTGTTAATTTTAAAAGCAAAAAATATGTCCAGTCATGTATGGAAAGAAAAAATGCATTACTAAAAGTAAAATAAATGAAAATATCACTAACAAGCGGGAAAGAGAGAGAGAGAAGCTTGCGGGAGATGACCTTAGAGTTTGTCTGGTTAGCACTGCTGGGGATTGATCCAGAGCCTAGCATGTGAAAGTTAAGTGCTGTACCTTTGAGTTACAGCCCAACTCAGACTTCTTTTTTGTTTGCTTGGTTTTGTTTTGTTTTTGTTTTTTCAAAACAGGTTTTCACTATGTGGTCCTGGCTGTCCTGGAACTCTCTCTGTGTAGACCAGGCTGGCCCCGAACTTAGAGATCCGCCTACCTCTGCCTCCCGAGTTCTGGAATTAAAGGCTTGTGCCACCAACGCCTGGTTCAGCCTCTGACTTGTAATTTTATTCCTTCTCTTCATACAATTGTATTCCTTTCCCCCCATTGGTATGCTCATACTCTCAGTCATCCTCTCATGTGTCCTTCCCCTGCTAGAAACTCTAAGGAGCAAACACTGCTGTGTTCTTGAGAAGGTTATTTCTCTGGAGGTTTTTAAACTTGTATTTAGGCCTGGTGGTGGTAGCTTGCTGTGATGACATTCATGAACTAGCTTTTCACTTCCCCCATCTCAAGGGGAAGTAACTTGAGTGATTTCTGTTGAGAGCAAGCATCACCTTCTGCAGTCTCACACAGATATCTCTTATGAACGACTCTATGTGTCTCTCCTTGTGATTGTACCCATCTTAAGATAGCAACAGTTGCTGTGTTTATGAGTCTAGCTCTTTATTATACGGTATTGTAATGTTCTGTCTTGTCTCATCTCCACTGTACTTCATTTTGACTATGAGGGCAGTCTACTCTTACGTCTTGCTTAGCATGTGTTCCAGTTGTATCCTAAATAAAATAGTTTAATTAATGCTAACCGTGTTCACATTGTATGTCAGCTATGACTAAGAATTTTTTCACACATTACTTTATCAGACTTAACATTCCAAGATTAAATACAATAGCAAGTACTTGTTTTCTTATAGCTAACATAATCTTAGTAAAAATGTTAGTTCTATTTTTCCAAATTTTAGAACATAGCCTCAGGCTACCCCTGAATTCCTTTCTGACCCTTGTTTGCTTTTACTCATTCCTCCTCTTCCTACTCATAGCCCCTTATTTTTTTTCCGTAGCCCCTTATTTATATATTCATATTATGTTACATGTTTGGAGAAGGCACCTTCTACTTGGTGGTCTAAAGTGTGGAAGTAAAGATCTTTTCTGTGTTTCTTAGGGTCAAATACAGGCTGGCATAGAGAAAGAGCTACAAACATATTGGAAGGAGGAGGAAAGAAATGCTAATGTGTATTTTGTGAGGATCCAAACTGCTGGGAATAGATACAAGTGTGCTTGCTGTGAAGATGTTCCATTGCATCCTTTGTTTTTCTTTCTTCAGGATGCATGTCATGTTTATATCAAAGGTACTCCTCCCTCCAGCCTGTGCAGAAGAAGATTCCAAACCGGTACTTAGGCCAGCCCAGCCCAGTTACACATCCACACCTCCTCAGGCCAGGTAAGGCCTTTGACTATAACAACCACCTCTCTGTTTAGATGCTCTGTCTAGAATAATGCTGAGTATTAAAATTTTTTCTCACTAATTGTGTGTCATGATTATACACTGATAGTGTTGTTAATGTGCCTGAGGGATTGAAGTTTTAATCTTATTTTAATTAAGTTTAGATGAGTCTGTGGAGCTCTGGTATTATATTGACATCCAGTCTAGAACAATAAATGCAATAAACTATAGTTCAGAATAACCAGTAAGAAGTATATATTTTGGGGCTGGAGAGATGGCTCAGAGTTTAACAGCACTGACTGCTCTTCCAGAGTTCCTGAGTTCAATTCCTGGCAACCACATGGTGGCTCACAACCATCTGTAATGAGATTTGGCGCCCTACAGGCATACATGCAGGCTGAACACTGTATATATAATAAATAAATAAATCTTTAAAAATAAAAAAAGAAGTTTATAGTTCAGGATTCTTTTTATAGGTATGGGTATTTTGCCTTCATGTATATCTGTGTACCACTTATGTGCCTCTTACACTAGAAGAGGCCATTGTATCCCCTAGAACTAAACTTAGAGCAGGTTGTAAACCACCATGTTGGTACTGGGTACTGAACTCGGGTCTCTAAAAAAGCAACCAATGCTTTTAACCACTTACCATGTCTAGCCTCAAATTTCAGGAATTTTTAACCAGAAATTTTAAGTTGTAGTTTCTATAACCATTTTCTGTTGATCTTTTGTTTCTATTTAAAATGTTAAGTGTTCATTTGAAATTTTGCTTTAACAGAATTACTTCAATGTAGGTTGAACAAAATTTCTGGATGCTTGTCACTGTGAGAAGTGTCCGACTCAGTTGATAAAGGTCATACAAAAGACTGTGAAGGTTTCTTCTGTTTCTAGAGTTGCTGCTAGAACAGGTGCCATCACAATTGCTCAAATTAAGACTTGAAACTGAGCCAGGCAGTGGTGGCACAGGCCTTTAATCCCAACACTCGGGAGACTGAGGCAGGTGGATCTCTGCGAGTTCGAGACCAGCCTGGTCTACAAGAGTGAGTTCCAGGACAGCCTCCAAAGCCACAGAGAAACCCTGTCAAAAAGAAAAAGAAAAGAAAACAAACAAACAAAAAAATACTTGAAACTGTTTTGTGTTTAGGAAGGCAATGGTGTGTTTATCAATAGCATTCTGGAGATGGGAATAAAGCAGGGTAAAACCAAATGCTTTTGTAGGAAAAGTCAGATTTTTGAGAAAAATTACTTATTCCTTCCTCCATGGGAAGATAAATGTATATTTCTGTAAGTTTCTATGAAAGCACAAGTGTTAATAATGTAAATTCCCTTTAGAAATATGTTACTCTTTCACTGTTTCCACTCAGTGAATGATACCAGTGTGTCTCTTAGTGAGGACTTCCTTTGGCTGATTCTTCATCAGACTGGAATTCCTGCAGGAAGTTGGCTGACACTCAGGAAATGCAGCTCACCACTGAAACACACAAGAAATCAGTTTTTCAAAGCTGTAAGGTAAGCATAATAGTAGTCCAGTTGATACTAAAGACATTTTTACCCTACTGACCTACCTGTAGTTTCTGTTTAAAAGGAGAAGCAAGGATAGAATTGGTACTTAAATTTACCAGCTTTGAAATGATTGATTTCTTGTGGTGAAATATTTTATGTGGTAAGCTGCATTTCCCAGGCCTTGAGCCTCACAATCATAGGAAGATAAATCACTTCATGTCTAAATTGCTTTGCTCTCCACATTATGTACAATTTTTTTTTTTACTTTTACCTTTGTCACAGATCTGAATATTGTTCTGAAAAAAGAAAAATGATTAAAACAACTTGAAACTTGATATTAATACTCAGTCTCAATGCCCATCACAAATAACATGAAAATTTCCTTAAATAAGAGAAAAATAGAAGCCTGGTGGTACACGCCTTTAATCCCAGCATTCAGGAGGCAGAGGCAGGTGGATCTCTGTGAGTTCAAGGCCAGCCTGGTCTACACTCTCCAGGACAGCAGGGCTATACAGAGAAATCCTGTATAGAAAAATTGAGGGGGTGGGGAATACTTTGAATAGTTTTTTGTGAATGAAGATTCATACTTTTTGTATATTCTCTCCTCTTGTTCACAGTTTACATGTGGGAGTCAGAAAGTTTGCTTTTTTTTTTTTTTTTTTTTTTTTGCCACAGAAATATGAGCTGTTATGCTTGGAAGTATGTGGCTACTCTTCAGTATTATACCAGTATCTGGTCAAAGTATTGTGTTAGGAGCAAAGGTCAATAGCATAGGCACATACAAGCACATGTATGCATGCTTACATACATGCATACATAAAATCATGAAAATCATACAGTTTAAAGGGACCATCTGCCCTGCCATTAAGCATGCAGATCTTACAGGGAAACTATCTGAAGCATGAATCATGTACACTTACCCACACACAGACATACGCGCATTTTTTTTACCCTGTCTTAACCAGTAGTGATAGCACATACCTTTAATCCTAGAAGCAAAGGGAGGAGGTTCTCTGTGAGTTAGAGGCTAGCCTAGTCTACATAACAAGCTCCAGCACAACCAGAGCTACATAAAAACTTGCATATAACTGGTCAACTTAAAGAATAAATTTTTGTCAGCTGTGATATTGCTCCAAAAGGCCTCACATTTGACATCATTAACAGTAGTACCTATAACTTACAACTTTAGCAGAGCATGTCAATCCTTTTCCTGTTAAATGAGTCCTACACATGAGACATAGAATATAGAAGAGAATACTTTAGTACTAATAATCCCACTCCTCAGAAAAATACTGTTGAGTTAAAGATTCACATTCCCAAATTGTCTCCCCTTAAAAGTTCCTAAATCAGTTGCAAACCTTATCTTTCAGGTAATTTAAATAAGTTCTCCCCTAAAGAAGAAGAGCATTCTTAAAAAGCAACTTTTGAAAGATAAATGACATTAATATCTGGAATGTACTGCAGAGATGGCTCAGTGGTTAAGAGCACTGACTGCTCTTCCAGAGGACCCGCATTTGATTCTCAGCACCCACATGGTGGCTCACAACTGTTTGAAACTCAAGTCCCAGAGTATCTGACTCACTCTTCTGGACTCCAAGGGCACCAAGCACACATGTGATACACAGGCATACATACAGACAAAACATTCAAACACACAAATAAATAAATAAATAAATAAATAAATAAATAAATAAATAAATAGTTTTTTGCAAATCTGAAAAGGCCAGGCATGGTAGCAAATGCCTTTAATCCCAACACTCAGGAGGCAGAGGCAGAGGCAGAGGCCAGGGGAGAATCTT